AAGAGAATTTTCAATAATTTTGATGGCGACTACGACAAATTTGCTGGGAGTACTATTTGAGAGGTAGTACCTGAAATCTTTGTGCCTTTAATTGGACTGGTGCTACAACACAGCTGCCTGATGTCCTCGGATAACTAAAGTTCAACATTACACGCCCGTTCTGGATTTGTTATGGACAGGAGAGGGATGGAAACGGATAGATACTTCGGATTAGTCTAATATCACGCTGAAAATGTTTCTTCTTTGATAAAAAATGGTCACTGCACTTGCACTCTTCAGCAACGTGCTGTGAAAAAGCTGTAAAACTTAGAATTTCAGAAGACAACTTACTTATGCAGAACATGAACAGGTGTCCTGTCGACGCATGTCCAGCGCAGACTGACTTTATAAAGAGAAAACATTTCCAGGCTGCTAAATTGAAATAAAAGTGAAAAAAACGCGGTATTTTCCAAAAATTACGAAGGGACAGACGTTATATTACCCGGAAGGAAAAAGTTTAAATAGCAACTAAACCTTCTAAGAAGAATTCCCCAGATAACCATCGATATACACCTCGTCGCCCTCAACTGCATGAAAAGTAGTTGCCTCTGCGCAACTTGGCGGAAAAAGCTGACTCTTAGCAACACCAAGAGCCGTGACAGAGTCGGGAAGAAGCTCTTCGTACCGTTAAATGCTGAACTGAAGGTGGTACCTTGGGATAGGTAAAGAATTAAAAACTGAAATCCTTTCTTAACGGACAAAGCTCAGCATTTAATTTTATTTAAAAACATTTCCTTCTTCCAACTGGTGGAGTCACTAGCAGATTTGACGTCCATTAAAAATTCATTCTAAAAATATTTTGAAACTTTACTCACCTCCAAGAATGGTAGAATATTCTCATTAACAATCAAGGGGAATAAAAAAACAACAAAGAACAAGAAGATGTTTGACGTCACTAAGCCATTGCAAATGCAGAAATAAATTCAGTTTTTCATTGTGGCCAAACTTTGAACAGCAGTTCCAACGCGCATTGTTTACAGCAAAAAGAGGTAGAAAATTTAAGAAAGGAATAAAAAAATAAATAAGAATATCAGGAGGAAAGTTTTGAAAAATACTACAACAAAACAAAAGCAAAAACAAAAACAAAAACTGCATGCATTAGAAATATGCACAAAATATGCAAGTACATACTTACATATGTACTTAGACCCCCTTGAGCTATCTTCACATATATACATACATGTGTACACGTATGCCTGTATGAATGTATGTCAATTTGTTTTTGTTGCTCGCTCGCTGCTCATCATTTCGAATACTTTTGTCGTTTGTGTTGTCGCCTTTGAATTCATTAGATTTTATTATATTTATTTTCTTTTTGCTTATAGTTGTTCTTGCTTTTTATTGTTGTGCTAAAGAGTGCAGTCCAATAACAAAAATGTAATAATAATAATAATAACACAAAGAATATTATTATAAGCAGCTAATGACAGCCAGAATAAACAACAACAAATTAATAACAGTTGAAAAAAAAAACCAACAGCAATAACAACTACAAAAACAATATCAGCGTCAAAGTAATTTCATTTAAATAAACATGAAATGGCGCGCGAAAACGATTCAACACTTTGTCAATATAAAACGATATGTACGAAGCATGTAGTAAGACTCAAGAGAGCGGGAGTCGAGCGGCCGAACGACCGGCCGAGCGCAGAAAAGCAAAGCTTCTCTATACAACATTATTAATATATAGTTTAATATTATGAACTCTGCTGTTGAATGTAGCTACGCACAAACATACATATTCATACATATGTACATGCAAATAAAAAACATACTTGCACAGATACATATATACACGTATGTATTTATGTACATATTCGTATATGCGTATAGTGGTGGAGTTAAAACCCAACGCCTGGACGCGATAAAAAAATCGCCGCCGTCGGCAAGCCAATTTTAGTTTTCGCCCCAAGTGAGTTTTGCTAATTTTAGATGGGGTTGCTGCTTTTTTCATAGAGCTGAATTTTGCGTAAAAATCATAGCCAAACTTTTTAACGTGCGCACTTACTCGCTCGCTCGCCAACACGCTCGTGCCAGGGCGATAATGAGCCGGGGGGGGAGTCAAGGCATGCAAGAGGTGGATCGTGTAAAAATAAGAAACCACGTAAATGTTGGCTTTGGCTTTTGTTGTAATGTGTTTTGTTGATTAAACAAATGAAAGTTTAGTGCATACATACAAACAAACGGACATACACATATCGCACAGTTTGCTTGATTTTGCTGCGATGAATAATGCAATATACCCGATTAGGTTTGGGATTTTACTCACAAGATTACGATACGTTTTCAAGCTGTAAAATAATACAAAAATCATTTAAAACAAATTTACTAGGAAATGGAATTTTTCATGAGTAATTTTCATTGACTCCGGAAGCGGAGGTTCTTAACCATAATCCGTTGCTGTTTATTTTTAATTTTTGTACATCTTTGTAGTAAGTCTTCAAATTATTTATGCTCTGGAAGTTTCAGCGAAAATATTAAGAGGTCGCATGTGTTTCGTCGGGTAAAAAAGGCATATTTCAAACATTTCTTTTTTATATAAAAATTAAAATTTTTTCCAAACCATTTACTCTGACAAAGATAAAAAATGCAGACTTTGGAAAAATTTACTCAAAAATTTTTTTTATTAGTTATAACTGAAAATAATAAACCGAGCATTCGTCCAAATTACCCGTGGATTGCGTCACGAAGGCCTGAGAAAACATTGTTTCGAGAAAAACACGTTTAAAGCTTAGAGCGCCAAGTCCGCCTGCCATTATGTTGGTCCTTATTAAGGTCTTACATCTGAAACTGTTATTCGGATCTCCTTGAAAATTAAGCATAAAAAGGATGGAGAAAGAGCTGAAGAAGGAAGCGGGACGTATATACGGATGAAGTTCGCTGCGAAAAAAGTTATCGAGCCGCTTGATTAAGGCGAGATAGCCTGTAAATGTAATATGGTTTACTGATTATGTAGAGAAATCTACACTTCATGAAAGTAAAAGTTAAGAACTCAGTGACGATTAAGCTTAAAAAGAAGCAAATTCAAAATGTTACTTTGGGAAAAATACTTAGAGCAAGTCCATCTAATAAAGAGATTTCTTAACATTATTTCTTTGGATTGTAGAATTTGAAGAGTGCGAGCTCCACCCTGATCAAAATTTCTAATTGAAGGGAAATTAAGTCAAGGTTATGCTGACCGGCTAATGCGTCTTACATAGACTTATCTTGTAGTGTCTGATATAAATAAGATCTAAAGTGGTCTTTTACGATATTAAAACAAGCCATAATATCCAAGTTTGAAGCCTCCTCTAGTCCTTCGCACTACGAAGTTTTGAGATATCCAAGACGAGTTTTAGCTATATCTTGGGAGGTGTTCTAAGGACTCACTTATATCTTCCTACTTGCACTTTTTGGATGTGCCACAGCTACTGAGAATAGCTTCCTTGGAACGCCATTAGATTGTGGCCCGTCATTATGTCCACATCTGTACTGCAGTCCTTACGTGAAGATATAAGTAAGAAATGTGTATTTCCTTTGGTGCTGTTGCACATGGTTTTAGTGGTTTTGTCGCATGTGCGTTCCGCCTCACTCTGATCGTGGATGACACTTTTGCAATTTTATCAGCAATTTTGTTGCCTTTAATGCCATTGTGACCAAGGAACCCAGTGGTTTACCCTCAGCCGCACTGTAATACTGCTTTTCTGCTTCTAAACATGTTTTATGACGAAATACGATTTGAGGGGGGAGAGGGTGGAGGAGAGAGTATGCAATCTCTTTTATCTTTAATACCTTTGTTCATCGAGCTTTGCCGGAAGGTTCTTGCAGAAAATTTTCCACTACAATGTCGATAGGTGTAAGCTCAAGCACCCTGTAAAAGAAACCACTGGCCTTTTCACTCTTTCTTCTACCCTTAGCTTCCAAATAATTTTGGCGTTCAGAATAACTCTCTGGTACTGGCTAATACTTGATTGATAGGTACACCTCGTTGTGCCAGCGGGGGTTTCCCAGCTAGGATACTGTGCTTTCTTAGCGTTATCTGTGATTAATAGTAAGAATGAAAGCAGTGTTCCGTGAGGGATCCAAAGAAATCCTAGATTTGCATCTAGTTTGAGTAAATTTACATTCTCGATTGGAAGGCAATGAGCTGGGGAACTAGGCAGGCAACGAGCCATGTTAGTAGTACAAGATACCAGGTAAAGGGTAATTGCTTTTGAGTCTAGTTAGGCTTACATACAAAAGTGTAGAAAAAGTTCAGAAACGGCTTAAAATGACTGTAGGTTCCTCTATTTTTTGGGGGAAACATCAAGACGCAAAAGAGTAAAATGAAGGTGGAGCTCGGCCTCTGTAGTAATCATACTATATATCGTAGTATGTAGTCATTGTTATGGAAGTCAGTGTATATTACTATTGGTACTGTTACTTATTTTCTTTGTCCCGAATGTAACTTTGAGTTTAAGTTGCTGCTTACGCTTGCGCGCGCCTTTTTCATTTGTGTGTAAATTCATACTTCTCTGCTTTTCTACTGCTTTAGCAGAATTGTATGTATGTATGGTCAAACATTTCAAGTGAACTGTCTCATATGTATGTAAGTATAAGAATAGTTCGAATTATTTTAGTATAATTCATGATTGAACATATAAAGATTCCTAGCCCCTTTTCCGCCAACCGATTCATCATAAGTACATACGATTATATGCCGAAGATGGAGTTCAATATCAAATTCAATTACGCAACAACCGCAGACAGAAGACTTTTAAGGGGAGATCGGTTCAAGCAATTAAAAAACATATTTTTCTACAACAAACAACAAGCCAATCGGTCGTTTAACTCCTAACACGAAGTGCTGATGTGTGGGTGAAAAAAGCAAAATTGGTGATAATTGAATTGTTGTTGTGTTTATATGCTAATAAATACTAATAGCTTTTGTAGCAATGGCTGTGCAAGTACATATGTATATAGCAAATGACTAAGCTACTCACATGGAAGTTTTCAACTTCAAAAGCACTTTTTTCACTTGTGTTGTTGGTTTTTTTCTTGTTTCGTGCTGTTGCTCGTGCTTCTTATACCAGCTGAGACAACTGTTGATACGACGATTACTAGTATAAAGTTACAAATATATATATATCTTGCGCTCCTTCTTTTCCGTCTTCAGTTTTTTCAAACAATATTTTCACAAATTGGCGCGCACTCTTTTTTTTCAGCGCCAACGCTTTGCCACACGAATGCTGTTCGAAGACAACGTCCGCGTAAAACAAGACAAAAAAAAAACACACACAAATAACAAAATGCGATACGAATTGATATGAAGCGAAATACTAATAAAACAAACCAAAGCGCAAAAGCAATAATGTATATTTATTAAATATTAGAATCAAATGTTAAGCGACAACACGACACGACGCCGCGTCTATGGTTGACGATGGAGGGCGCGCGGAGAGCGTTGTTGAGATGCGCGGCGCAGTAAAAGGCGCTGGAGCGGCTATTGAAACTGTTTTCTTTTCTTTTTGGTGCTACTGGGGTGGCGGTGTTGATGGTGTTTGTATTGTTGGCTTTTTGCGTTTTTCGTTGCTTTGTATAATCGCGCGCACAAGTATATGTGTGTGTGTATGACTTGGAGAGAGAGAGAGAGAGTAAGAGAAGTGTTCGTGTATTTTTTAATGCGGTATTTGGCGTTTTTACGCGCGGCGTGCGGTTTGAGGGGCGCAAATGTGTTGCGCGGTACGGTGTCTAGCGGTTGATAAAAGAAGCGTGTGATTCGCTGACTTTTATTATATTTTTCAATTTTTTCTTTAATTTTATTTTACACTTAAACTGTTGGTTCGATCACTTGCCTATTGATTAGAATTGTTAATATTGCTATTTTTGCTTTTGTTACTATTTATGCTGCTGCTGGTGATAGCTGCTGATTCTGGTATTGCTGCTATTCACTATTAGATGCTGAACATAAAAACAATAAATATTTTTTTGCACTGTACGATGACGCTTGTTTGTGGGTATGTTTGTGTGTAGTTGATTGAATTATTTAAACGTGATTTTTTTTTTGTTTTTGTTTTGTTTATGTTTAAGTAGAACTGTTATATTTTTTGGTCGTTTGTTGTTGTTGATTTTTGTTGAATTCGCATATTTATATATTTATATATATATTTCCAAGTAATCTTCGATTACGTTAATATTTTCTGTATTTTTGCTAACAGCATTTCGTACACATTTAACCGCAAGCACATTTTTTCTGACGAATTAACAAGCGTAGTGCGGTAAGTGTTTTGGTGATGATAATATCCGTTGGTATTGTTGTTGGTTTCGATGTTGTCTGCCTTTTAATTTTGTTGTCAAACCTGCTTTATATAAATTTAAATGAAGTAAATTAATATCGATTTTGCTTTAAGCACTCATTCGTAAGTGAATTTTTGAAGAAGAATTCAACCCTTTTCACACTTTTAGATATTAATATGTACATATATTTAATATATATTTATGTATGCTTCAAAATAAACGCGTGTGTGTATTTTTGGAGAGTTATATTTGAAATAATTTGCATTTGAGAGAAGGCTACATTTTATTTCGAATGTATCTTGCTTTGTTAATTTTTTTATGATATCATCTTTTTACGGACAAACTTTGGCCTATTTTATATTTTTCAATTTTTCAATAAAAAGCTACAATTTTTATGATTATTGGGAGCAAACTTGACTCTTTGGGTAATAAATTGGCAACATCGTGTTAGTATTTTTTTTTTAATTTTATTATTTTAATTTTTTAATATATATAGCTTTCATTGTTTATAACATTTTATTCAGTTTAAATATCTCTCATTCTATAGTTAATTTTCTTATCATTTGTAGTATAAATTTCATTCAAATTTAAAATATTTCAATTTTTTCGTATTTAATTATTATATATTTTCCTTTAAACAATATTCATTTTACTTCCATATCTCCGTTACGTACATATATTTTCCTTTAAACGTATTTTTTTTTTAATTTTTATTAATTTTTCCACCACTAACTAGTTTTGTGCTGTTATTTTTTGTATTATATTTTCACCACATTTTTGTATATTTCAGCCTTGGTCATAACTTTTCTTAAAATTTTCATTTTCATTTTATTATTTTTTATTTACATTTGCTTATTTCTTTAGCTCAAAATTTATTTACACTTTTGCCATTTGCACACATTTTTTGTATTATTTATTTTTTATTATTATTTCGTTTTTGTTTTTGCGCACTTCTGTATTTCTTTGCTTCTACTTTTCATTCTTTTGTCTAACTACATGCGCTCTTTTGTTTACCAGATTACGTGTAACAGCAACAATTTAATTGTAATTCATTCCATATTTTTTATTTGCGCTTTAGTTGTTACTTTGCACCTGTCCGGAACACTACAATTACACTGAATTTTTTTATGCTTAAGCATGTATGTGTGTACATGCACATGATTATGAATATAGTTAAGCGCTACTCCTTTCTTCCACTCGGTTTTTAAATTTTATTTTAAGCTAAAGCTATTCTCTATCACTTTGCCCCTATAACACTTTCGCATCGTTTGCCAGAAAAAAGACAATTCCTGTGACCTCTTTCTGCCACAGCGGCGGAGATGTCATCGACAAAGTTGGCGGTGCTGTCGGCTCGCCACGTAATTAAAGACAAAACGATGCGTTTCTTCGTTCGTGCGCCGCGTTGCCTGATCAGCACGAAGACAGAAAAAGCACTGAAGTGGAGAGAGGAACACTGCAATTTTGGTTTTAACGCTAAAAAAAACGTTCAGTCTGCGCAGCTGACGTAAACGCGTAAACGAAAATGCAATTGCTAGCGTCTACGTTGACGTCGCAAAGTCATTGGAATGCGTTCGTTGGCTCGATGGCTAAAATGTCGCTGCTTATTGCGTTGCGCTGGGATGTTGCATCCAAGTTTACATGTCTTCCAATGCATGTGACAAAAGCAGCTGTAGCAACTTATTGGCCGCAACAGTGGCGGCGTATTGACAACAACAACAGCGTCACGCAATACCAATAATAGATTATAATAACAATAAATAATAAAGAGAAAAGAAGGCAAAAGCAGATGCAGGAAAACAAAGATACAGTGAAACAGTGCAGTGCGTTTGTTGTCGTGATTGTTGTTACTGTTCTTGCAATTGCGTTATTTATAAAAATAGCAGCATACCGCGGCTACAGACCTACAGAGAGACACCTAGCAAGCAAAACGTTGTCTAACCAGCCGACTCAATGACTCACTAAACGACCGTCCAAATGCCTGATCAACCAACTGTCGCCCGCCTGATTGAACAACGCGCCTACCAAGCCATCACGCGAGCATTTTGGGCTAGGCGTCTGAGCAACAGTGCGTCTGAATTGCTAAACGGTTTGGTCGACCCCGTTTTTGCTCTTCACACACAAACACATATAAACGCACATTACATATGTATGCATGTATATGCGCCATGCTATTGTTGTTGCTTTTGTTTTTCTTCTTGCCTACTTTCTTCGCCCCGACGAGCCGTGTTTTTCTTTTTGGCCTGTGGTTACTGCTGCTGTTGGTTATGGCCTGTGCCAACAATATGTGCTTGATTTGGTTGCAGCTATGTATGTATATGCCAGCTAAATTGTTATTGTTCTTGAGTATGCATGTATGACTACGTTGTTCTTGCATTCCTTACACGTACGAGTGAGCCGTATGAACATATGCATATAATCAAATATATGTATATACACAATGAGTCTATATATATATATATATGCATATATTAGTATGTGTTTGTGTGTAGAAAAATACACGTCTACGTACATGCATATGTTTGTATGCATGCATACGGCACTTTTTCTCGTTGGCCGACGTTTTCTGCTTCTGGCACACTGCGGATGTGCTTCTTTTATCGCCTATTCATCTACCTATTGCCCCAGTCGGTCGGTCGCTCCCCTCTCCTAACCTCCCTAGTCGCCCTGCAGCCTTTAATTTTGATAACTTTACGACCACTGCAGTTATTCACTTTTGCTGCTGCTGCTACCGCTGCTGTTGACTTTGTTGTTGCTGTTTTCGAGCCCCCAAAACGTATTTACCAAACAGTATTTATCAATATTTTGCTGCCATAAATACAGTAGCCAAGTTGGTCACTATGCTTTTCGAACAAAAAATATTATTACTCGAAAAGTTAAGCAATGAGTTTCACTTGCGTTTTTGTACTAAATGAAATTTTAATATTTTTATATTTCTATGCTCTCACTTTGTTTCACTTCACTTCACTTCGTTCACTTGTTCTTGTTCTTCCACTTCTTCTTCTTCTTCTTCTTCTTTCTACTGCCACTTATTTGGTCGACTTCGTTTCCACCGAATTACCTATATAGGCACTTCCAAATGCTCGCTGGCCAAGAACTCTAACTTTTTTCTATAAATCACGATTTGCACATTCACCAATGAAATTCATTAGAACTTCTCAACTAATTGCTGTTGCGTTATTTTCCATCGTTTCATTTTTGCTATTCACTTGCCACTTATGTCGTATTTACTTGATTTCTTATGTATTTTTGTATGTCTTAAGCTTTGGACTTCACAGAACACTTCGTTTTTCGATGGGGTACTAAACTAGCACTGCGTCAAAATGACAGCTCAATGCTGACGCCATTGCCGACATGTCGCACTGCTTTAACGACCTTATATGCTTTATCGTTCACATAACGACTGCAGCTCCAATAGTGTGGCGCTGTCAGTGGGGATTCCGTTATATACTTCCGTTCAGCCATTATTTGCGTACTGAAGTTGGTTGCGAACGTCAATGTGGAGTGGTTGTTGACTTTGCTAAATTTGGTAGCTGAACTGTGCATAGTTGCGGTTGCGAGATTTGTTGGGGGAATATACTAAACTTTTTTATTATCAATACAAAGGTAAATGGCTGTAACCAATTATTTGCAAAGATTTTAAAATAAAAAAACCCATAAAATAACGGAATAAATTTATAAATTAAAGTATTTTATAAACAAAAAACCGCTTTTCTTTTTAGAAATATTTTTAATGTTGGCGTAAATTATTTTTATAAAAGAAAAAATTTTCAGAATTGATTATTTTTAACTGATATATGAACGTGCGAGATTCAACTGTTTTTTTAAATTTCAAGAGAAACATATATTGTCATTGAAAAGATTTGAATTTATATACATATGTATAAATTAGTGTTTATATAAAAATTTATGCCAAGCCGTTATTTGTTATCCCACTCAATATTTGTCAAATATTCCGATACTCATTTATTAATCCATATATTAATGTGACGTTAATTAATGTCCAAAGGTTTTGCTGATTTTGACTTAGCTTTTTAAATTAATTCTTTTTTCGAGCGGTCTGTTGTCGTTAGCCAAGCGCGTGCAGTTTTAATCTCAATGTTAAGATTCGATTAACCCACATATACTTCTGCCGTTGCAAAGACTATTATATAATAAGCTAAACAAGCTCTGATGTATACCTATTATTTATACTATAATTTCCCACCCCTGGCTCTCTTTTGTTAATTTGTCAAACTAATTACGAGGTGAAAGGTTAATCGATGTGCCATAAAGTAGAAGTATCAAAGTGGAAGCTGAATGGACGTCATTATTATTGAAAATCATTAATTTTTTATTATGGTAATAGTAAGTGTGTTTTAAGGGGGATTGATTTGACTTTTATTATTTAAGAAAAATTATTAGATACTTGCTGAGAATATAATTGTAATTACATAATTGAATTAAGTAAATGCCTATATCTACTGTTACATACATATTTTGCCCCTTAAAATCATTGCAATACTTAATTTTATTATTTATAAACATTTCTGTTTATTTTTGAATTATATTTATGTAAATGAATTATATAAATTAATAGATTATTTATTATTTTTTTTTTTGAATATCTGTGTCATTATTGTCATACGTTGAGTATACGTAACATTTTTCGAAAGGAGTATACGGAATGTAAATTAGCACTCATACGCCGTGTCTACTTAGAAAAATTATGCATAAAAATCACTTTCCTCTGAAATGCAGCGAAAAACAACGCAATACCAGTTGGACGAAACTAATTTAGCTAAATGATCTCACACTATTTTGGTACAAGTTTGAAACAATCATCAAAAATATGTACATAAATTTTTATGATTTAACTTTTTTATAGAAATCTGACCTAGAAATATTTTGATAATTTATATATACACCTACATATACATATGTGTATGGTCTTTGTCATTTTAATTTCGTATTTCACAAGCAGTGTCCAAGCCAGGATTGGGTGCCGGGAAGGTTTTATTGTGTATTTAGAGGGATTGTCAAGGGATCATCCAAAGAGTTGCTCTCCTATGGCCTAACTCTTATCTACACTCATCGACAGTGACTCACTAGAAGCTTCTTGAGCGTGCCCGGGAGGTTCATATTCATCCACTCTATTGTCCGCATCAAGTTATAACCAACTGTTCCTGTCTATGGTGAAGAATTTGGCTCGCAAAGAATTGCTCTCAAGAAAAAACGATCAAAATCGATTGTGTTTCTCTGAAAATGGCAAACTTTCAGGCTTAGCAATTGAGGTTACATGCACATACATATGTATAGAGCTGATTATGCATTTAAAAAAAGATTTTATTTCTAACTCCACGTCATTTTTAAATGCCAATAATGATAATTCAGTCTACTCTCTACGACAAACGCGCGTAAGTAAGATACAAAAAAAATTTCCACAAAATTTTATCGAAGTAAATTAATTATGGCCAACATCTGATCGATCTCCAGAGTACTTTTGCATTTGCAATTTTTTTTTTGCAATTTTTATATTATCACACGCCCACGTTTATAGCAAAAAAAGTTGCTAGACAATTCACTTACAAGAACAAAAGTGTGGGATATACGAGGGGCTTAACAAAAGTTCGGTCTGTTGGTGACTTTCAATTTGTTTTTGTTAGATCAAAAATACTAGATCGTTGGAAGTTGCTTTATTAGTCTTCCTCTCAAATTTTGGAACGATCGGCTAAAATGGAGACGAGAAAACACATAAGTTAGCTGAGGATAGGACAGAAGAGATTCCACCATCAACGCAAACAGAAATTCGCCATGTGATTCCATTCGGGTTTCCTCGTAATTTACAACAAATACAAATATTCAGTGATAGCAAAATTGCATATGGAACGATTGCACCGTCTTTAGAGACTATTTCTAAGAATCCATAAAGGATGAGTCTCGAGCAGGACAACTAAAGCCTTACTCTGGTGAAGTCCACAATTCAGGAAGACCTACGATTGACACAAGAAATGATTGCTAATGAATTGGACTTGAATGCCATGGCTGTATTGGGAATATTAAGTAATCATCTGGGATGAAGAAAACTGCTCTGTGTCTACTATAAATTTTAAGTGAGGTCCAAAAGAGGCTTGAAGTCATTTTCCCAAATTTTTCAAAAACAAATTCGAAAATGGTGAATCTAGCAACTGTGGTAAAGTCGTTACTTGTGACGAAACTTGGCTATATAAGTACGATCCAGAAACAGAACAGCAGTCCATGGTATAGATCCCAACAGGAGCAGACCCACCCGTAAAATGTAAGCAGCAAAAATCAGCAGCAAAAGCAGTGATGTCAGTTTACTTCATCCGATCTAAAATCGTAGGCGAAATTCCACTGGAAAAGGATCAGATGGTAACTGCAAAAAAGTATATCGAAGTATGCTTACGAAAAGTTTTCAAAAATATGTTTGAAAGCAGGAAGAAAGAAGATTTGCGGCGCTGCTTTTAACGTCATGCTCTGGTGACTACGCGCCATCATACACTGCTGATATGACGAATAGTTTTATTGCGATCTCTGGAATAATAGAAATACGCCCAACACCATATTCCCCTGAGAAAGAACCTGGTGATTTCTGAAAAAAAAAAACATTTTTTTCGAAATTAAAAAAAAATTAAAAGGAAAAGTCTTTTATTATACCAACGATGAGATAATTAATGCGGTTAATACTGAACTTAATAAGCATAAAAAGCAAGATTTTGATAATCGGATCTATAGGCTTAAGAAATGCATTGAAATAAATGGCGATTGTGTAGAGAAGATAAAAGAGCACAAAGTTCAGGCAGAAATACAAAAATAACGATTTTTTCCCTTTTTTGCTGGCCAACTAACCGAACTTTTCTTAATCCCCTCGTATATGTGTATGTGCGTATAATCCATATTTGCTTAGTGACAGACCATTGATTGGGAATATTATTTATAAATAAAATATTAAACACAATTTAGTATCTCCTCATGGATAAGGAGAATAAACTCAGCCATAAATGGCTAGAAATTTGGTTAAAAAATCCTGATTTCTAATAAAAAGAAATTCATACATAATTATTTATTAATACCAACAAAAATTCCTGCCACATTTTAGACATTTACTGTTAATCACTTTGCCATGCAGCAGCATAAGTACATATGTACTGGTGTCGCCATTCAGAGCAAAGAATCTCCAACTAATTACTTATTAGATTTTGCGCATCAGATATGTTTTTTTTCTACAGTTTTTTTCTTCTCTTTTCTTTTGCTTATCACATTCTTGTACAATAGTGACTGTAAGCATGTTGTTGTTGTTGTTGCTGCCGTTGCTTTGCACTTGAGTAGCATGCAATCATATCAATAATTTCATTTAATCATTATCACCGTTACTTGTATGGCATTGATTTTTTCTATCTGTCACAGCGACATGATTCGGTTGTTCTTGTTATTGCTAGCAGCACATTCTTTTGTCTTGTGTGCGCAAATTGGCTATTTAGTTGATGATTTGAAGTTGCTATCACAAGTCGCGTGGACAAAGTGTAGAAGAAGGTGCTGAGAGGTAATTAAATTGATTAAAAATATTGAGTAAAGACAAGCGAATGTGTGCAGGTGGTTTTAACGCTTAACAAAAATACCAGAGTGAAATTAATTTAAAATGTTGCGAAAAAAATTTAATAAATATTTAAAGGACTTGAGGTAAGCATAGCTTAGTTGGGGATTTCGAAACCAATCATGGACATGAAATGTCAACTAACTTCAGTCCCAAGTGTCTGGTAAGTAGCGGAACGAGAGGAGATAGAGCTGGCAAAATTTACACCCTCAAGATCAGAACGACGAGCTGAGTAAGTTTAGAGATATTTCAGCAAAGCTGTGGGTGCCCAGTTGCCCTGCTGACGGTTTATTAAAAGATCGATTTTTCAGATTTGATATTCTTAATCAGCGCAGAAAGCATCTCGTAAGAGCGTGAAATACGGAACAAACCTCCCTTGTTGCTGCTAAGTCTTTTCAAGAACACTTTTCAGCCCTTTGTTAGGCGCTTTGCAGTTCACAGAGCTAGAATAAGTCTAAAAAATCCACATCAAGACAAACTTGAACGTCACAAACTTCGCGTTGACGACTACTTTACCTCGAGCTGGCTTGAACTTCCAACTGGCATAACAAAGAGCTTTCCCTAATTTAACTTACCCAAATCGAACGAAACTTTTATTTGCAGTCGAAACACAGTTTGATATAAAGTCTGAGGTGGGTTTTGGTTAGGCTCTCGAGGAGCTCAAATTCTCAAGACGAATCATTTTATGAGGAGCTCCTTTTCTTTTGTTACAAACAGTTTCCTGCGTGGGTCAACTAATTTTATTAATATCTAAAAAAAGAGCTAGTATCATATTTAACGACTGTTCCATGGAAAACGAGACTGCTGAAAAGTGTATATTTTATAATTATTTACTTGTAGAATGGTTTTTATGGCTTCTAAAATGACAGGAAAAAAATATTTCAGATAATAAGTGCATACAGAAACTAGCTGACGCCGCAGACGAAGAGCTGTGTGCAATCTTGTGTTTTTAAAAGAAAGTTCAATTTATATTGTGTTGAAAATTATTTATTTACGATTTGTTTAAATTTTTGTTGTCAATGTAACGCAGCTTGACATACGACATTCTTTGTCTTTTTTTACGCTACGTAAATGTACGCAGAGGAAGGTTTTCCAACTCGTGAATGCGCCACGTAAAGCTGGTCGTGTGAAAAACATGGCATTTCTCGCAACTGGGCTTGTGACCTATTGAGAGTCGCGGTTGAAACTTTTTACGAACCATCTTTGAATTTTTTTTAATTATTTTTCTTTTTGATAGTTTTGAAAAATAAAAATAAACAAATTAAAAAAAAAACAATAAAAAATTAAAAAAAAATTGTTGGCAAAAAAAGTTCCGTTTTGGAATTGCCCCATTTTTCCTCAGAAAAAGTATAAGGTTTTCATAACTTCCAGAACCTTGCCAGATCCACAGCGTGCAACCGCCGAAAATTTCATCAAAATTGGTCCAGCCATTCTCCTGCCTCAGTGCCACTAACAAACAAATATTCATTTTTATATTTTGAAAAAATAAAAGTCAACGAATCGAGAGTAGAGTTAGTGGTTTGTAGTAACAATGGAAACTTGGTGCCTAAAGAAGTAGTAGAGAGCTCTAAATGCATGTACAGAGCAGAAACTGAGTTGGACTTTATGCTAATCTGTTGAAGACTTGAGCTTAAAAAATTTGCCTGGGATTTGGATCGCTCCCCTGCTGGTGTACTTTGAGTAGATTTTAAAAATAAAATAATAAAAAATTAAAAATACATTATTACATTATTCATCTGTATAATGATGATCTTAAAGGTTAGGCTGAAGTTATTCTCAATGAAAACCAGTGACTTTAACTCGCCCGATCTGCAGTTAGACCCTTTGTGAAGCTCTGAGTTTCTTATTACTACATTTGTCTTCTCAATGATTGCGATATCTAACATTGTCAAGAGCGCAGAAGGTACATTAAAAGTTGCATACAAAATTTTTGTTCCACTGGAAGCACCTTTTTTTGTGAACATGTAGGAATAATAAAACACTATTATTTCTTATTCAATGTATATTAGATGTGTATGTATTGAAATTCAAATAGCAACTGTCCTTTTGGTCTTCTGTCTAGTACGCGTCTCGTTCATTCGTTCAGTGAGTATTGCTTACATTCAGTCTGGCAGGGTAGTATTTTATAGTAGTTTTCAGTGAATATTATATTAGTAGTAGTCTTTTAGTATATCCGTCCACTTTGAGTAGTCAGACGGTGTTTACCTGCTACAAACATTACTCATATTCTTTGTATAAACTGTTTCGTGCAGATTTACCTAGGTGTTCCCATGACTCGTTTGTGTTTAATCAACTTCTTCATGAATTGGCGACAACCCGATACAAGTTTGATGTTTCCCATAAGTGAACTAAGCGCATTTATTACTGCCTGACTGCCGCTGAAAATAAAGACAAAATTATTTTTTAAATTGGTTTCAAGATGGTGGATATCTTCTCCTGGCAAATGCTAAAATAATTCTGTACCCGAAGTGAGAGTTTCATGCGATAGTTTTGAGAGAAGGTGCAATCGCTGTGCTGTGGTAGTCTTTAGTTCATGCGCCTCTGTTTGTGGTTCGTATACTGAAGTTGTGTCTACTATTTGAGATTGAGCCACAACAACAGTATTTGTAGCTTAGTTTGGTATAAAAGTGCATATTTGAAGTATTTATTAGTGCTTGGCGACTTGTTTATAGCACCGATACGCTGAGGACAACAACTTTTTACGACTTCCCCTCTCATCTCTAGCCTCTTTGCTTCTATATAGTATGGTTTATTTTATGACCTCGAGCTATGCATCTTCCGCAGTGCAATCATTTAGTTATAGGCCTTTTCATAGATTCAGCCTCGATCTCAAAGATTTGTTGAAAACTCCTCGAAATCGGTGGATTCATAGTTGAAATTTTTTTTTATTTCTGCGGTCTTTGTACCAACACTAAACCGCGGATATCATACTAAATGCACGTTGTTGATAGTATGAAAATCTATTTTGATTGGGAAATGAGTGCAGTTTCGGTGTTTTTTTTTTCTAATATAAGAGCAGTCAAAATAGTGCAAAAAAGTGCCGGAAAACTGATGTGAATTACGGTAAAACTGCCATAAATTCGTGGCGGACTCAAACATCATTTACTCGATTCCTTTGCGGAAATTTTGATATCAGACATACACTGCCTAGTGGAGAAAAGCCGGCATGCGAGAAATCCATTTCCAAATCCAAATCCTGATCCAACGACTTAAAGCATCAAATGACCACAAACAAGGTGGTGCTGAATGTATGTTTGCAACTGGAAGTGAATGGTTCATTTTGAGTTGCTACAAACTGGCAAAACGGTTAGTTCTGAGCTCTATTAAAAATAATTAAGCACTACAGAAGAAGCATCCAGATTTGATCAGAGCAAAGGGTGTTTAGTTTTCTCCTGACAACGGCCAGACTACATAACATAAGTGTTTGATGCTCAGGTAAAAATAGACGGAGCTTTCTTTGGGAAGTTTTGGTGCACCCGGCATAAATCTCTGCTCTCATATCACCCGAACATCAATTGTTTCGATCTCTGCAAATTTCTAGAAGGTAAAAATTTTGCTCACCAAAGAAACGCTAAAAATAATTTCGAAGAACTTTTCGCTGGTAATCGCCAGCCTAAATATGTCGGAATGCAATAAAAAATAGTAATATAAAATGTAATAAATAATAATATATTTTCAAAAACTAATATCTTTTCAAAAATATATAAAAAAAACCGCATAGCTTTTTTTTTTAATTTTGACTGGACTTCGACTTTAAAGCTTATCGAAAGTCGGTGAGTTTTTAAATACTCAAAACCGTTATTGCTCTTTTTCCCCCAGCTGGCATCGTCAATTGTATCATCTGCTGCGTTTACTATGACAAGGTGTAAATATGTATGTATATAAATATTTACACGTATGCTCATTTCTATTCCTGAATGTCCTTCACGGCTTCCAGCTTCTGCTGCACTACATATTTATACTTACATAAAAGCATAGCAACTTGACATGCATGGAATTTGCTATGTAATGCATGTGAATTACTGAATTACTACGTCTCATTAAATTACAAATAAGCAACAATAGTTTACTCAGACATTTACAGAATTTCCAGAAATAACTTTGGGACAGTTGCTGTGTGACGGATACACAAAGGATGTGTGTGGCATATTTTAATAAATTTTAATTTATATTTAATATTCAAACTCACTAAATTTACTTACAATATGAAGAGAAAGTAACCTTTTCCCATTTAAAAAATTTTTATTTTTAATATTTCTTCAACATTTCGTTATATCCCCAAGTCCTTAGGAGTTTTTTTTTTTTATAAACCCAACAACATTATTTTTAGTTCCAATTTAATTGGAAAACGGCTACTTATTATGAAAAGTAACTTAAATATTTTCTATATATTGAAAAAAATATATATAAAAGAAATTTCCAGTGGAGACGGAAACTCCTTGCTATCCTTAAAACTATTCCTGTGGAACTCTTAGCGTTTGTAACTTGAATATTTCGAATCTTTTCTGCTTTTACAGAGAAAACACATTGAAATAAAATCGCAGAGTCCATCAACTATTTTCCTTCAGAAATACTAGTAACAATAACAACAACAACAAATAACAACAACAATATTAAGAAACTTTATATCAACAGCTAACAATCACTTAAACCGTAGAATTTCCTTAGTGAAAGCAAATCAAGTTGCATTGACATTCTGACAACGCTGATTTTTCAGAAAAAAAACGCTTCCTTTTATTATGCGAAGAATGCTCAACGCGAGGAGTGACCAAGTTTACGTTTAAAAGCCGGCAGTTGCTACTTTTGTTTGCACCGCCCAAGTGACGCGAACTCCCCCACACAGTCAGCAGAAGCCATGTCGTTGTTAGTGTTATTTGTTTGTATTGTTGTAACAATGCCAATGCACTGTTTATTAACGTTATATGCGCTGAGTAGCCACTGTAGACGCCACTTTAACTGTCACGGATAATGCAAACGTCCAGGTGATTGCTGATTTGACGCCCGAGCGTGTTGGTGCATGGCTTTTATTTGTTTGCGAATATAATGGAAATGTTTTTCTGTACAGTATTTGAATGCAAAATAATTGAAAAGCACTTTGATGGGGGAAAAAAATTAAATAAAAAATATTGTAAAATTAAAAATAAATAAAAATTGAATAAAATACAATAAAATAAAGGGAAATAAAACGAAATAAAATTCAAAAAATAAAATTTAGTAAAAAAATCAAATCAAAATTCAAAATAAATAGAACTAAATAATAGAAAATAAAATGAAAAAATTAAATAAAAAATTTGAAAAAAATTAATTTATTAAAAATATTAGAGTAAATAAAGTAACTGAAAAATAAATCAATTTTCTAAATCTAAATAAAATAAACTAAAATAAATTGAACATATTGAAATAAATAAAAATTAAAATAAAAATTAATTAATTAAAAACAAATAAGAAAAATATATTAAATTAAATAAAAATAGTAAATTAAGTAAGAGAATGAAATGAACTAAAATAGTGTAAAATAAAATAAAATTGAAAAACTAAATTAATATAAAAGAATTAATTAAAAGAATAAAAATGAAATAGATCTAAATAAAAGAAACTAAAATTAAAATAAATACAAAAGTTAAAAAAAATACATATATTAAAAAGATTAAAGTATATTAAGAAACTAAAAAATTAGTAATTTATAATAAAACTGAATAAAATAAGCTAAAATAAATTAAACATATTAAGATAATTAAAAAAATGAAATAAACAAACGAAAAAAATAAAACAAATAAAAATTAATTAAATAAAAAAATTAATAACAAAATAAAAAATAAATAAATTAGTATAATAAAAGTAATAAATTTAATAAGAAAATGAAATGATATTTTAGTAGTGTAAAATAAAATAAAATTGAAAAACAATAAATATCTAGTTAAAAAAATTAAAATGAAAAAGAATTAAATAAAAGAAACCAAAAATAAAATAAATACATATATTAAAAAAATTAAAGTATATTAAGAAACTAAAAAATTAATAATATATAATAAAACTTAATTAAATAAACTTAAAAAAAAATTGACATATTAAAAATATTAAAACAACATTAAATAAATAAATAAAAACAAAAGACAAAAATAAATTAGTAAATAAATAAATTAATAACAAAAATATAAATAAATAAATAAAATAAAAGTAATAAATTTAGTAAAAAAAAGATTTAAAATTAAATAAAATAACGTAAAATAAAATAAAAGCGTAAATATAATTTCCTGTGTACAATAACATATTAAATTCCAATTAAAACCAAATTTTTTTCAACCAAAATCAAAAATTTTCCTTTTTATTATTAATTTAATTACTTACTTTTTTATTTGTATTAAATTTTTGAAGTTCTTTCGTATTGTAAATTATTCAAACACAAAATCACCTTAAAATCCGCAATCAGCTTACTTGTAACTAAACCACTTAAATAATTTTCATCACAAATTTTCTTATTTGTTGTCTTATTGCTCTTGCAGCTCTCTACAACATCACAATACAATACAAATTCTGCAAAAATGTTGAACAAGGTTACCATACCATATGCATTATCCTTGTGGCATTTATTTGCCTTTGCTGTGCTGATATTTGCCGCATTGCCAGTAACCCCAGCTAATGTACCATTGCCAATGAACGAGTCGGCTAACTCAGCGAAGGCAGAGCGCAAGGCTTCATTGCGAGGACAAGCTGTAATTGATATGGTACCCATGGCAGGTAAGCACTGTTGATACGATGACATTGAATTAATCCAATTAAGTGATTTAGAAATGATTTATTGCAATTAAATGTTTATGGACTTTTTTTTTAGTTTTCACTTTCGTTGTTATGTGTTGCCGTAGAAAACGCTAATAAATAAAAGAGACAAATGTCGTTAATAAAATTTAACATTTAAACAAAAAAAAAAATAGCAAAAGTCATATTCAGCGCTTTTGTTTGTTGAGAATTTATTGTCCAATAGATAAAATTAATAAATTACCAACACACTTACAGCTGACTTAAAAGTTCTTTCACTGCCTCAAAATTTTTGTTTTCTGTGAAATTCCAATTTCAATTAAAGTCTTTGTCTATATGTATGTAAGTTACTGAAAAAAATAATGCAATTGCTGCTCAATTAACTGTGAAGACTTTTATTATGCTTAAATCAAAGATAAAGTATTAATGTAAGGGGTTGGTGGAACAAAAATGTAATTAAATTTCATTCTCTGACTTCAATTTCGTGACTACTCGAGTGAAAATTATTCTCAAAAATACATTTATTTTGAAATGCTACTAGTTTTTCGAAATACTTGAAATGTTTTGTAACTAAATTCCGCTTAGATTTGTATAATGTGAGCGATTACAATATTTGAAATTAAATAATTGTCGTCTGTTTCTCGTCATCAATGACTTGTTAGGGCGTATTGGTTACTTGAATTCCTATTTCTTGTTTGCTCATATTAAGTAGGGCGAAATTGCTTTTTTTTGAGGGAGTCACAAATTCATTCGCTTCACGCACTCTTTCACTTCGAGCCTGCCAAAAACTACACTCGCTTCAGCCGATTTGTAATTAACAATCGACCATTACTAGAAAGCTTTTCTTTAAGGGCTAAGGATCATTATTCGGTTCAAAAGTAATTTATTTGTATTCGTTTTCTCCTTCATATTCTTATATGCCTTCGTATTAGTTTTCCTTTACGTGATTGTATTCGTCTACACATTTTCAATTTTATTCAAATCCGCAAACTAATTTATATTAGTTTCGTATCCAAACTCCTCACGTATTTATATAATATTACAAGTGTTCGTATTCGTATGCATATTCGCCTTCGTGTTCGAAACAGCTTATAACTTTCGTCGTATTCGTATTCCAATTTGTATTCATAACTGTTTTCCAATTGGCAAGCCGGGTTCGCATTCGCACTCGTAATAATATTCGTATTCATACTCTCATTTATATTCGTATTTGTATTTTTAACTATATTCGTATACGTATTTGTATTCGTTACCATATTCGAATTCACATTCGTTTTTGTAATAATATTCGTATTCGTATTCGTATTCGTATTCGTATTCGTATTCGTATTCGTATTCGTATTCGTATTCGTATTCGTATTCGTATTCGTATTCGTTTACGTATTCGTTTTCGTATTCGTTTTCGTATTCGCATTCGTATTTGTATTCGTATTCGTATTCGTTTTCGTATTCGTATTGCTATTCGAAATCGTATTAGTATTCGTTTCGGCTAAGTAGTTTCATTCACAGTCTCATTAATAATACGAATACTTATTATTCACATTCGCAGCCGTAATCGCATTCGCATTCGTATTTGTATTTGTATTCCTAAGCGAGGCGGATAAAGTCTAAAATTTAGTATTTAAAATCGAGTACAATAGTAGAGGCCACACAATTACTTTCGTGTTGTAAATAGAATATATGTATAATTGTTGCTTTGTAACCGCTGAAGCAATTTCGGCCGAGCTCCTGCTACAATTTGTGGTTTTCCAAAATGGAGGGATCGACAGTTTATACTAAGCCGCCTCCGAATTGGTTTCGGTTTTGATGGTTCTTTATGAGGAGTTTTATTTTTTCATATGAGAAATACACTCTTTGGGGTTGACATTCAATGCTGGGGGGCGACCGCAATTGGGAAATTTAGCTTAATTTTTTATTTAAATTAATTTTTTATAATTTTTGGATGTTACCACGACACTAGGATTTCAACCCGAACCTTCAGAATGGCGCCACGCAATGCTAGCCACTCGGCTAACGCAGCCGCCAATTCATAGCATTCAAAAATATATTATGGAGCATGCCTAGGATGGCTTTGATACATCTTGGAGGAGAATCGAAAATCTCATGCTTAAATGAGTGGCAAAGTAAAATCATTTTCTCCCAACTCTTGAGAGCCTGCTCGACAGTAACTCTCTTTCTAACTTCCGTTCGCCTCGTGCGCTAACGTTTTTCATAATGCCACCATAACACATTCACCAGCTTAGTGTTCAAGCTAACCGCACGTAGAAAAGTTATAATTCTTACTACATTTGGAAATATTTCAAGGATACTTTTAAAAATGTATACCAATATTTTGATGCATTAATTATTGATTGAGTTTCCGTGCTCTTCACCTTCTGCGTGGTGATACCTTTTTCCTCCAAACATTTTACGTGCATAATAAAATCAACTTGAAATTATGCGGCACCATTTTCGCACGTTAAAATATTAAAATCATTAGGGAAAAACAAAATTTGTCAACAAATCGTTATGAGATATATTTGTGCGTGTGTATGTGTAGAGCAAACACACTTGAAATGGCATTGTGCACTCTAACAGCAACGACAACAAGTACAGCAGCAACAACAAGAGCAAAAGCAATGAAAATATTAACGATGTCATCTCTCAGCAACGCCTGTCATGTACTTTAGTGCACATTTGAAAACTCAATCACTACGACAACAAAAATAAATTTCGCGCTTGCAGGCGACACTTTCGCTGATTTCAAAAGTTGCTGCTGGTAGGTGTTGCTGTTGGTTGTTGCTTGCCGTTGCTACCATTTTAATGGCTTGCCGCATATATTTGTGTGTTAAAACAGTTATATTGCTGTTGAAGTAGTTATTCTTCTACTGCGGCTGCTGCTGCTGCTGCTGCCTCATCTTTCTCGTCTGCTTCTTCCGATTTTCGTCTTCAGCTACTTCAGGAAGCGCGTGCTCTTCTACGCTGCACTCAAGTCCTTCCTACATTCCGTAATCCTGCAGCTGCTTGATGTCTTACTTATTGCAACATTCAAGTGCAATCCTGTTCGTTTCGTTCGTGTGGCAACAGTGGCAGCAACGATGGAGGATCTTCAGGTTTTATGTCACTGCCGTCAGCTAAATGACACGCCCCGCACATTGACTTACTTCGCATATAGTGAAACTTATATTTATATATGTTGATATATATGCGAATATATGTCTGCGTATACGTGTATATACTTGGCACACTGTGGCAAGTTGTATGTTGGTGCAACAACATCCACAAACATGTCACAAGAGATGACGACAAACTACTTTTGTTTAGTATGCGCTACATATCTATTCGTGTTGTTGTTACTGTTTTTGTTGTTGTTGCATCTACAGTGTCATTTGTCGGCTGTCACTTGTATTGCGTTGCGGTCGTCACGTTGCGTGTCGTCATGTACATATATAAGGGTGCATATGTATGTGTGGCAGAGTGCAAGTAATATTGTATTTTGTTACGCAAGTTTATTGCTCATGTTTCGTATGTTTTGACAACTGTTATACAAGTATACCAACAACAACAGCTACAACTCAACAAGTTGCAAGCTCTGAGCAAGTTTTTTATTATTTATTTATAATTTTTTATTTCAATTTTTTTCTTGGTATTATTTTGTTCTTTTTCTGTATTATTTTTGCGCTCTGTCAAATATATATATATTGTATATATATATATATATATAAAATAGTGTGTATATAATATTTTTACACCAGCTCACACTTGGCATCATTACACAAGCAAATTGCCACATATTTCAACACGTTTCGCACAGTCATTAAAATACTTTTATTTATATGCGCTCGTATGTATGTATGTGGATGCTACAACTATCTTTATAACTCTTGTTCTTGAGCTGATGCATTTGTGTACGTTTTCTTTTTTTGGCTGGACTCGCCTTGTGAAAGTGTGTTTATGGCATACTTTTGTGCATTTTTAGTTCATTTTCTGGGTCAAGAGATTTAGAAATTTGGCTTAAGAGATTTTGAAAAGTTTTAAATTGTTGCAAATATGCTAAAGGTTATGTAATATAAAGTAAATAAATGTATTTATTTATATTCTTTGTAATGAATGGCACGTCAAGTGCTGAAGCTGGTTATTGTTTGAATATATTATTAATTTTTTTTTTGAATTTATAGCGACATGGTAATCATGGCTAAAGATTTTGAATTGTAGTGACTTCATTTACTGTTAAATATTTCTTTATGATAGACTGGAAAATATATAAAATATTATGTTAAATTTTTTAAATTAATTTCCGATTTTTCTTCGAGTTGGCAACCCTAAAAATAAATGTAACAAGCTATTTCATTTGTAATTATTTACAAGATGCTGTCCAAGCGGTACACTCTACAACTGTACCCCAGAGTTGCCTATGAGCAACTTCGATGATTAATATTTATTTGTTGCCAGCTAAGTGTCAGCCCTAGTAACCTTCCAAGTCCCTTAATATGGATCACATTAGCATGATTATAGCGGAAAGTAACTTTTCTGAGCAGTGGTCTGTGTGCAGTCCCGAAACGGTTAAACATATCTTCTAGCTCAGTTGTGGGTTGGGTTTAAAACCCGCCACGTATAAACTCCAGCCAAAAAATAACAGATTCCCGTTTTTTATGAGGGTCACTGCAAATGATTATGATTTCAGGGTAAGCACCTGGAATGTCCGATCTCTTAATTGGAACGAGCCACTGACCTGTATGTTGATGTCCACGCAAAACTAAAGACTGACATCACCGTCGTCAAAGAAGCACGATAGACGGGTCAAGGACGGTGGTGAGCACGTTCTTTTGATTTTTACTACCTTGAAAGGAGCGGAAAGCTGGTGCCGGATGTGTGACGAGTGCGAAACACTGTCGCCGAGTACTAGCATTCAACCCGATGGATAAAACTTTCGATACAATTTGCATCAAAGTGACATTTTTTTTACCCAAACCCTGATTTGTACCAATGCCTCGAAGGAAGAGAAATTGATGTTGTCAAGTATGCTTTTCATTAGCGCCTAGAGTGCACTCATGAGCGTTGCCTCCTGCGCGACTTGAAAACTGTGCGTGGCGAATTAAAGCCCAGGGTGGACAGACCAGGTTTCTTCACCAGAAAATTCATCAAAGTACTAGGCTGCCGCTACATCAACTCGAATCACTATCTTGTAGCCCAAAGATAGGTACGAGCCTGTAACAAAGTAACAAAGAGCGGTCGTCAACAAGCAAAAAGGAGGTTCGACGTTGGAAAGCTGTAATTACAATAATAAACCGAAAGGGTTTCTATCCGACGAAATTTCAAGCAAAAGGAAATGAAAGGTCACTTAAAGAGCTGGTATGATGAAGACTGCCTCAGTGAAAAAAAAGCAGGTTGTGTCGTTGCAACGTCGGGATTGACCACAGCACGTGCAAAAGGGAATAATAAAAGAGAGCTGAAGAAGAAAGCAAGACTCGTGCGCAGTCAAATCAGGAAGAGTCCAAATCTCGTGAGTATAAACAGCTTGAGAACTAAGGAAGAGAACACTTTCCCGCCGGCTGCATGGCAGTGAAAATGGAACAAGTTCGATAGCAATTTTTTGCTTGAAAACTAATAAATCAGTTGTGTCTGCGGGATTGCTAGCCGAGCTATTTAAACTCGGCTGAATCGAGTTGCATTAAATTGAAATGTGGTCGGATGAATACCTCTTCAATAGCGCATTGTATGAAAGATTAAATGCTGGACCTTAGAAGTAGGGCTTTAGACCTAGTAAATCAACCGTTAACCAGATACTCATCAGGGGTTGAGCTGAATACTTCTTGAACTACAATGCGGCTATAGCGGTGCGGGAGACGACTGGTTAGCATTGGATACTACCATCGGCCAAATCCTGATGCAACCAATGTCAAATGACTATAAAAAATTAATTAAAAAAAACTAAGTTAAATTTGCTTATTGCGTACGCCCCTCGGCAGGGAATGTCCACCATTCCGAGTGTAGTTCTGACATTAAATAAAGGCTTCCCATAAAAAACCATCAGCCGTGCGGAGGCGGATTAGTATGAACTGTCCATTTGTTGGGAAAATATTCGGAAGCCAAACCACAAATCTCGGCTGAAAAACATATCAGCGTTTAAAAGGTGCCAAAATGTGTTAGCTTTTATCTGATATAAGCGGCAACCCTACTCAAGCGTTATCTAAGCTAAATCCTTAGACATTTCCTATCAACCAGTGTGCTTGTAGATGATGTTTACTTGCAACTATTTCTTCAGTTAAATATTTTAATCAATAATATTTAATTTTGGTATATGTGGTAACCTTGGCAAAATTGAGTGAAAGAAAATTTAAGATTATTTGCTTCATAAAATTTTCATGTTTAACAGTACCGTAAATTCTATTACTCATATTTAAAACTTTAATTATTATAACTGAAAACGGGGTGGCAGCCCTGAGTAAAATACAACTATTTTAATTTAAGACTTTCATTGTGCATTTTACCCATTTAAGTATGATTTTCGTCATGGTTTACATATATTTTTTAGCTCACTTCAAAATAAGTGAAAACTCTATTAATAACTTCAGTTTGTTACTGCACTAAAATAATTTCTATTATGCAAATGTTTTAACAGTTGTTTATGCGTATTATTTGCCTTCAAGTCTATTTATAAAGAACATGATGGTGGCAACACTGCCTTAAATGAGTGTTATTGCATCAAATTTCCCCACAAAGTTACTACAAATTTAGTTTTATAAGAAAAGTTAAACTCATCTTGCTTAGTTCCAAAAATTGTTAACCGTCCAACCGTAATTATTTATAGCTAAATTGAATTTTTTTACCGTAACAACCGTACCATACAGATTTTGTGCTTTTCTATTATTTTACTTGTGAATTTCTAAAGGAAATTGTTAGACTTACCACCAAAATTAAATAAATTGTTTTGATCGCTGTTATCTCTCTACTTTTACAGAACGCTCCGCTTTTATACGCTACGAATTGTCAAAAGCATTGAATCGTACTAATTTCGCAGCAAACAATCGCACAGGCCGTATTGGAGAGCCACGCTTATTTTTAGACCAAAACCTTTTGTTGGATCCCGCACAATTGGTGACATTCGAGGTAAGCAAAAAAGTTTTCATTATTCAGTTGCCAAAAGGAAGAAAAGAAGGACTCTAAATTTGCTGTAATTTTACTGAAAACGAAATTCCATAAAAAAAACAAAAACTAAAGACTCTGAAAGTGCAACTGACACTTTAAATATATCAAAAATATTTCTTCTTTTGAATCTTTTCATGTAAGACAAGATTTTATTGGATGAAGTTTTAATGATTTTTTTCTTTTTTAAGCTCAAACCATATGAAATAAAACACTTGTGTAGCTAGTTTGAATGAATTTGAATGCTTCCTGTCTATATACTTCACCAAGTAAACTCCTCGATTGTTATTAGAATGGCAGCCATCGACTTTGCTCTGCTTGAGCCGAGGCGTATACGTAATTTATTTTGACAACTCAATTCAAGCAAATAAATTGTCAGCAGCCACTTTGCATAGAAAGTAGTTATATTTAAATGTCGATATATTTCCTTTCTATACAGACTTCAATATTCTACAATTGTTAAGTGACAATCATTCTACGCGCTGCTAAGTTATTGTAATTACGGAAAGAGTTGAATGCTTGTAGTTGCGCAGCTGTAAAGTTTTCCAAAGTAGGCCCAAAGAGAATGGGCGGAAAATTTCACTAAAATTTAGTTACTTAGGTGAAATACCAGTTGAAGTCAATAAATCACTGACAATTTTGTCTGTCTATAAAAGTTTTCGGTAAAGTCTGTAAAGTTTTTCTCACCAAAAAAAAAAAAAAAAATAAAGAATCATTTAATGTGACAGCTGGAAGCCGATTTTTAAGAGCCAGCAATATGTATACATTAAAGACTAAAAAATTAATATATATCTTTATAAAAATATAATTAATGAAGAAAAACCTAACGGATGCTTAAATTAATAAATATTTTTAACATTACATAATTTTTGGAATTAAATACATTTAATTACATTTTTTTTATTAAAATTTTTGTTCTCAAATTTATATTTATATTTATTTTTTTAATTTATTATATTTTTCCCTAAAACACATACAGACATAATTGACATATATAATTATTTTTTGGCTCAAGTAATTTCAGTTTATTATTATTCTCAATTTGTGTACCTTTTTCCTTCCGAAAAAGACAAATATTTTGTTAACCATTTTTAGGTATTTAAATTTATTTATTTTTTTTCATACTCACTGACCATAAAATTAAACCAATTTGCTTGTCAATTTACAAAATTGACCATTATGCGCCTAAAATGCGTAATACGTATAAAATAGAATTTATGCAACACCTTTTCTATTCACACATATACACGTTCAAATGCACATACATATGTCTATTGGAAGAAGGAAAAAGCAAATTTCCTCCTCAACTCTATTTTCAAATGTTTTCTAATATACAATCTTTTCTTCAAAAACTAATCTTTGCCCATTCTTTGTATGACTTGAGTACGCACACATACGTAAAAGTGTATATATGTGCATACAAAGAAAGTGGACAACAAGCTGAGTGTCTTGTCGTATTTGTTGTACATATGTTTCTTATACCAAACATTGTTGTGGGTGTAGATGTTTAAGGCAACACACAGAATACGAAATAAGCAAGGCAGTGCCTAAACGTAAACATAAACATGCATATGAAGACATACATACATATCCACCGCCTTTCAAAATGTCGCCAACAGCAAGACGGTTAACGTAAGGATACAATTTCACTGAGTGGCCTGTATGTGGTTCAAGAAGACACGTGCAGAGTGACAGTGATAAGCCCACACATACACACACAGATACGTACGCGTTTACATATTTTCATACATGCAATTGACGCACAAAATTTACATGATGTTGCTACAAGTTATACAAGTTGTATGACAAAATTACACCAAAGGCTGCTCAGCGTCGCCTATGGATGTAGACAGGCGAGTGTAAGAAGGAAAAATGAACTGGCTGGAGCTTTTGTGGGTTCGTGAAAAATGTGTGTGTGTGTGTGTGTGTATAAAATAAACCATTGAATGCAATATAAAGTTATTGGCTAGTCTAGGGGTATGAGTAGGTTGAGGTCATAACGGGCGAGACACATAAAATATGGCAAGCCATACGTGCCGGTCAAGCGGTGTAACCGAAAATAATAAAGTAAAAAGCAAAAGTGGGAAGAAAGTGCCATAAAAATTGTGCGTAATTTTTTCCAGACTTTAATTTCCCTTTGCTCAGAAAACAGAGAAAAGTTCACACTTTGCTTGAAATTTAAATATTTTAGCAATTTTGCCAAGCAATGCTCTCAAAGGTGTCATGTAGTCATCTAAAATGAGTGAAAACGAACGCAACAAAATGAAAATGTAGACTAAAAGGCTTTTAAATGGAGTTTCTGAAGCATTTTGATTTTAGTGCTCTCCCCACTTTTTGGTTCCTTTCGAAGGCAACCAAGCGACACTCCAAAAAAAAAAGGTAGATAACCATTTAAATTTCTATAGTTTAATCTCAGAGGTGTAAAAGGCGTTAAGTGGCAACCCTCAATGAATTTTAACAACAGACAATGGACGCTTTAGAGTGATTTTGTTGCTGCTTTTAATACAATTGGCTGTGTGGCAAGGTGTTGTGCTGGCTTGCAGCTGCAGATAAATAATTTACAGCGATAGAAATCAGTTTGTTTATGTGTTATTTGTACAATTTTTTTGTATGTAAGTCACAAAGTCGAAGCAAATATTCACCATTAAAAATTAAAAGGAATTTTTATTAAACTGATAGCAGCAGGTAAAGGAGAAACAAATAAATTTCAAATTAAATTATCTTTGGGTTGAATTAAAAGCACAAAGCTGTTGAAAATTCAGAAAACAAATGAAAGTATTTATTTTGTTGGAATTTAAGGGCAGAGTTTCAATTTAGATATGTGGAATAAAGTTTTTCGAAAGGCTTAGATAAGCATAAAATTAAGTTTAATTGCTCTTTCAAAACGTTTGCGTTTGTCGTCTTCCCCATTTCTCATTGTTAAATATATCTACTAAAACAATATACTATATATAAAACAAATAGCGTCTAAATAACCCGGATTCGAGATGACAACTTTTTTTTGCTATCAAAAATTGTTTTAAACGACTTTCTGCGACATTTAAAATTTTATTATAATTATTTTGGGTTATAATAGGTATTATTAATGAATCATTAAACTAACTTTTGACTAGTCTTTGACATTTTTAATCTTATAATTACTTAAAACATTTCGAAATATCCCAAAAGTTTAGAGTATTTTTCAACAGTTATAAAATGAATTATCGCAAATTTACTTTATTGTTATTTTCATTTATTTATTTATTTATTTCTTACTTGTTTTAAAACCATTTTGATCTTTTGGGGTGTTTAAGTTGTTTTCATATATTTTCTCAATTAAAAAAAATTCAAATTTAGTTTTTGATTTCTATAAAATATTTTCACTATTTTTAAATTATCTTTAATTGAACTCTATAAAATGTTTATTGTTGTATGCTACTTTTGTAAAATATTTTGTATGCTATTTTTGTAAAATATATATTTGGTAAGTAATATCAAAGGACTTAAATTTTTTTATTTTTATTAATTTTATGACATTCATTTTAATTTAATTTTTGAAAAAAAATGTAAGGCTGACTTATTTATTCATACCTTAAGTCCATTGTTGCTAGCCGTTCTCAGAAGCCAAGCATTAACTCTCGTTTAATATTTACCTGAAAAAGAGCGCTTGACTACATTATACTGATTACCAGTTGCATTAATTCTATAATACCATCAAAGCTTTAAGTACACTTAATCATTACTCACACAGGGCTGCGTAACGTTTTCTGGACGTTATGCTTCATTAACAAGAGAAGTGAAGTGAGACGTTGCCTGAGAGTACAACCAATGAGTATGCTATCGGCTAAATAAAAAAGGTTTTAAGGGAAAAAACTGTTCACAACTAAATATTGATGCTTGCAGGTGAGTGGAAAAATTGTATAAAAAATCATCGCCCAGTGAATCGACGTCAGCATAAAGCATACTTTAAGGCGTCAATTCTCAGTATGGACGCCGATTGAGTGATATTGTTGCGGAGCTATTTTCCAACTACTGTGAGCTGCCGTTTTACATTGAATTGACAAACGTAGCGATTTTACTTTTTTACTTTTTCATTTGTTTTTCTGCTTTCGTTTTATTTTGCTTTTATTTTTCGCATCAGAGTGAGTTAAGTCCCACACCGAAGTGGCGGTATTGGTTTTTTTTTTGGGCTTTAGCTATTCTTGCGTAAGATTGTTTTGCCACTTCGCCTTCAGCGAAGCATCAACTAAAGTCCGACCTGTGCAGAGCTGCTATTGTGTTGTTTATATAGGAGTTTTTATGTGATGTTGTATGTAAACGTGCATCCACGTGTATGCCACCATCGTTTTGATATTCCTCGGAAAAATCCCCAAATGAATTGCACAAGACAGCCGACGGTGAAAATAATAATTGCAAAAGAAAAAAGTATTAAAGTGAAAGACAACGAAAAGATTAGTAAACTCGAAGTGAGTCAGTTTGTCTTGTGCATTAACTAAAGCAGTGGCGGTTGTATGCGCGTTTGGAGATGCAGCCAGTTTCAGAATCAGCATGAAGGCCACTGAATGGATGCCTTGCAAGAAATGCGGCAAAGGTTTTAATTCCAAGCGAAATTTAAAGCGATGAACAAAGTTTAGGTGAAAAAAACTTACAGAGTTACCACATTTTAAAATATGCGATAAAAATATTTTATTTTTAGACGAGTTTTTCTACGACTAATGAAAGATCATTTTGAATGATCTTCTTCCTATTCATTTTTAACTGAGTGTTATGTTATGACACTCATGATTCTCGCAAACAATGTTGCCATATCTACTGCCATCAGTTTTTTTCAAACGGTTTCGTATGTTTATTTCTTCACATTTTTTTAAACTATTGCAATTTAAGATTCTAGATCATATTTATCACCAGCTTAACGCTATTTTAATTGATAATTTTTTGGAGACAAAACTAAGTAATGTAATAAATAAAAATTAATTTATTTAATA